TGTTATTACTATCATTAATACTATTATTGTTATTATTATTATTATTATTATTATTATTATTATTATTATTATTATTATTATTATTATTATTATTATTATTATTATTCTATCATCATTAGCCATTCGTGGTAATCACATCGATATCATCCCACATTGAGCTGACATCAGCTTATTTATTATCAGAATATGTCCCTTGCACATAATGGGCAATATGATTGTGTTTTCCATTCGTTTTAAATATCGAAAACTATATATATAGCTGACAATCTAAAAAAGTGTAATTTAACTAGACAAAGAAAATGAATGTATCGAACTACATACACATTTTGATCCAAATCTTTTATGCTATCTCTATTTTTTTTATATGAGAGCTTCAAGATGGCAATCCTTTTCAGGGGACACTCCTATAATTACCTCCAAAAAGGTCATTTAAAAGAAAACAAATGTGAAGAAAAATATTCTTCATCTTTACCAGAACTCAACGTGCTCTTTCTGCATAGCCCAGTGGTCTCGTAACCCGGAAATCATAGGTTCAAAACCAAGTCAATATTGTTGTTTGCTGTTGTTGTCCTGTGGTAAGGCATTTATCCTTATTACAAAATCCTTTAGTGGGAACTTGAAATCGCCAGTTCACTGGCTGCTTATTTAAGTGATGTTTTAACCAGTCTTTACTTCAGAAAGGGATATTAAAGGTAAAAATTCTTTGTAGATTTTTTGTGAATTCGGTAAATATAAGATATAAACAATGTTTTAAGATTCGAGGCATATCTGTTTGTATAGGCTCTCGGGGTGATAGTATGCAAATATTGACTGCTCATGAGGATGATGGTGGGAATTATCACTCCCAAGGTGCTGCCCTTCTATCACCCCCGAGGCGAAGCCGAGGGGGTGATAGAGTGGCCGGTATGAACACCACCGAGGAAGTGATAATTTCCTCCACCATTCGATTACAGAGCAGTCCATATTTGTTGTATATTCCTCATCCGTTCGAAAATAGACGTATTCATCAATAACTTCTACAATATCATCATCTAGGTCGATGTGAATTTTTCGAACTTTACTACGAGAAAATACAACAACTTTGGTTTTAGCTGCGTTGACATGAAGAAACCATTTTGAGCTAGAGCGCCCTAACAACGCGTGATTTGCGCGCTGGGGGAATCTTGTACGCTGTGTGTGTGTGTGAAAAAGTTGCGCATGGGTTAGCAGTTCTATCACAGGGTTTTGGAGTCTATCACAGGGTTTGATAGAACGACGCAATGATAGATCGAAATGCTCCTTGTCATGTGATATAGTCTTGACCAATCAGTGAATGACAATCTATGTATCAGGTATATAATAGGATGTAACGTCCCCTTGAGCTTTTAAAAACAACTATCCCTCTCATAGCAGTCATTATATCTATATTATTGCCTTCACATATGGAGCACTATTGCTTCAACTCGGTTCTAAACCGGCACCTCTCGGTTACGAGACCACTGCTGTAATATTGAACCATCGCGCCTCCTCGTTTACATATACATATAAATTATTTCTTAGCAGTCAGGTAAAAACGAGCCATCAAAAAAGCAACAACTTACTTCGGTAGTCACTTTTGGTCCCTGCTCTGTCTGTGTAACACTTCCATGTATTGACATACTTGCAGTTTAGCCAGCTCCTGGGTCCATTCAGGTGAGGCTTCAGCAAATCGTATTCTTCCACATTCTCTATGAAGAGCAGAGAAGGCTCAACCATTTCCCCGTTGCCCATGGTAACTGCATCCAGACCATTACAGTAGTCACGAGCAGTCGTCCAAGCAGCGTCTGGGAGTGAGTTCACGATCAGGAAACACTTTGTGTGCCCATACACCCAACCGACTGGGCAGACTGTGATCGTAAAGTGGAAAAGCACGACAACAGTTAAACTCCCCATAGTCGGTTCAAAAACGCTGTTTTTTTCTTCGTGCATTTTTGTCTATTTTATGCATTCTAGATGTCCCCAAAATATTGCCTTATTACACACATTGGTAACAATGAAATGATTGTATAAGTTTCATATAAAGAAAGCATTTCTTTTGCTGTTTATCTCTTGTTTCGTATTGTCTTTTCCTGTTTTTAAGCAGTATGTATTTATTTGCTGTAACGTGATTTAAAACGTATTTTCAATCACTGACCTGTATAATCATTTTTTTTCTCGACCAACCGAACATTAGAAACTTTTTCCTTTTTTTTTTGGCTGCTGAATTCTTCAGCATAATTTATTTATCTATAGCTACTGCTAGCTTGCTAGGTGGCTTGTCAGTTCCAAAGTAACAAAAAATGGCGATCAAGGCATTTTCTCCACTTCTGTCTCTGGTTTTTCGAAATGTGACGTTACCTCTGTTACCAGTCAGCCGATTGAATGTATCTATGTATTTGATGCGCTTTCTCCCTCCGTCACTTTCCCTCAATTAGTCAGGCTCCTATCCTGTTTGCTGTGCATTCTCATCTCATAATATGCCCCCAAAAAATTAAGTTGTCTTTTTCGAATGAGGTTAAGAAGGGATCTATAGCACATGCCTTATTGAGGACTTCATCGTTTGATTTTCCTTGGAGTTGTTTCATTTCCCAAACCATGACAGGAAAATCTGTAATATTGGACGACACTTTCATGACATATGCTTTTGAGTCCCATGCACACGTTTCTGTATCAAAGTTATGAGTACAGTACATGTGATTTTTGAGCAAGACCATGCCAACTCTTGTAATCCTTTAACACTATAAATACTCACAGTATACAACATTATTGTTATGCGAATCAACTCTTCCAGGTACATTCAGAGGATGTCAAAGTTAAATTCGCATGCAATGTCAAAGGTCTACGTAAAAATGATCACACATACTTTCGAACACGACATTTCAATGGCCCTTTCCATCGGCTATTAAAATGTCCGAATTAAATTACGATCACGTCTTTTTTAATCCGAATATGACGTCCATGTGACATGTAATGAAGGCATTTAAATTACCCTTGAGCAGATTTCTCGAAAGTGTTTGCAAACTAGTTCACGGTAATAACATTTTCAAAATGAAAGGGACTACACCAAGGGGACCATAAGTGAGAGAGACCGAAATATTGTGTGAATCCTTTTAATAAATCTTCCAGAAAAACGTCCACAAAGCCGAAACACAGTAATAAAAAAAAAAAATAACAAAATAACAAAAAAGAAATAACAAAACCTATTCAAATACACACACTCATACACACACATGCTCGCACACACACACCCACATACACTAAAACTGCAATCGCAATATTTACATGTTGGGAGATTATTCCACAGTTAGAGTCGAGTCCACGCAAAACAGAGAGCTTTCTAAATAACTTACCAAGCTGCTCGCAATGTATTCCGATGTATCCTCCGAGGCAGGAGCAGCTATACCCATCAAGCTCTTCAACGCAAGTCGCTCCGTTAAGACAAGGATGGGAGTAACATGCTTTAAGAAACAGAAATCATGTGTTCAGGGTCAAACAGCACAATACACACTGTTGGTTATAAAGTTGGAATACCTTGCTCTTTTGGTGAAGTGCCTGTGATAATAGGGTTTATTCTGGATAGTAAGCAAATAACTACCTTTGGTGAAGGTGATGGGACAAACTTTCACTTCCGAGGCGATCTGGATGTAGCTATCTTTCCGAAGCGAAGCTGAGGAAAGATAGCGTATTCATTCTGATCGACGAGGAAGTGATATTTTGCCATCGCCTGAAACCAAAAGGTGATTATTTGCTTTATATTCCACATCAAAACAATTTAACTACAAAAAGAAAAGACACCAGGCCATAATCATTTTTTTCTCGACCAACCGAACATTAGAAACTTTTTCCTTTTTATTTTGGCTGCTGAATTCTTCAGCATAATTTATTTATCTATAGCTACTGCTAGCTTGCTAGGTGGCTTGTCAGTTCCAAAGAAACAAAAAATGGCGATCAAGGCATTTTCTCCACATCTGTCTCCGGTTCTATGGAATGTGACGTTACCTCTGTTACCAGTCAGCCGATTGAATGTATCCATGTATTTGATGCGCTTTCTCCCTCCGTCACTTTCCCTCAATTAGTCAGGCTCCTATCCTGTTTGCTGTGCATTCTCATCTCATAATATGCCCCAAAAAAATTAAGTTGTCTTTTTCGAATGAGGTTAAGAAGGGATCTATAGCACATGCCTTATTGAGGACTTCATCGTTTGATTTTCCTTGGAGTTGTTTCATTTCCCAAACCATGACAGGAAAATCTATAATGTTGGACGACACTTTCATGACATATGCTTTTGAGTCCCATGCACACGTTTCTGTATCAAAGGTATGAGCACAGTACATGTGATTTTTGAGCAAGACCATGCCAACTCTTGTAATCCTTTAACACTATAAATACTCACAGTATACAACATTATTGTTATGCGAATCAACTCTTCCAGGTACATTCAGAGGATGTCAAAGTTAAATTCGCATGCAATGTCAAAGGTCTACGTAAAAATGATCACACATACTTTCGAACACGACATTTCAATGGCCCTTTCCATCGGCTATTAAAATGTCCGAATTAAATTACGATCACGTCTTTTTTAATCCGAATATGACGTCCATGTGACATGTAATGAAGGCATTTAAATTACCCTTGAGCATATTTCTCGAAAGTGTTTGCAAACTAGTTCACGGTAATAACATTTTCAAAATGAAAGGGACTACACCAAGGGGACCATAAGTGAGAGAGACCGAAATATTTTGTGAATCCTTTTAATAAATCTTCCAGAAAAACGTCCACAAAGCCGAAACACAGTAATAAAAAAAAAAATAACAAAATAACAAAAAAGAAATAACAAAACCTATTCAAATCCACACACTCATACACACACATGCTCGCACACACACACCCACATACACTAAAACTGCAATCGCAATATTTACATGTTGGGAGATTATTCCACAGTTAGAGTCGAGTCCACGCAAAACAGAGAGCTTTCTAAATAACTTACCAAGCTGCTCGCAATGTATTCCGATGTATCCTCCGAGGCAGGAGCAGCTATACCCATCAAGCTCTTCAACGCAAGTCGCTCCGTTAAGACAAGGATGGGAGTAACATGCTTTAAGAAACAGAAATCATGTGTTCAGGGTCAAACAGCACAATACACACTGTTGGTTATAAAGTTGGAATACCTTGCTCTTTTGGTGAAGTGCCTGTGATAATAGGGTTTATTCTGGATAGTAAGCAAATAACTACCTTTGGTGAAGGTGATGGGACAAACTTTCACTTCCGAGGCGATCTGGATGTAGCTAACTTTCCGAAGCGAAGCTGAGGAAAGATAGCGTATACATTCTGATCGACGAGGAAGTGATATTTTGCCATCGCCTGAAACCAAAAGGTGATTATTTGCTTTATATTCCACATCTAAAACAATTTAACTACAAAAAGAAAAGACACCAGGCCCAAATTCACACCAAAAAAGTTTAACCCAACCCCTTGAGGGTACAGTGCGCGTATGTGTTTGCGCTCATTGGTAATGCTCGCTTAATTACGCCTGTTTAAGTGCGCTTTTGGATAATCTTCAGTGAAAGTGCGTTGCCCTGTGTAGATAGTAGTACTATCTACATAGTGACACGAACTGTTTGCTTCTCCCATCAATAATGGGCGAACTATCTTTCATCACGTGATTTACTTTTGACAAATCGTAGAGCAAGATTCTTAATATGTGGAATATAAATAAGTTTATATAAGTTCAGTACTTTAATTAACTAATTACTATGAACTTTTGTATTGATCGATGAAGTACTGAAAACATATTAACTTTTGTTGATAAAGAATAAACCACATTCAAACAATTCTTTAAATAAAAGAGGTAAAATAACAAAAAGTATTCCTACCTAATGGGCAACAAACAATATTACACTTGCTCGTAAATCTAAACTGTACAACCATCGGCGTAGATACGGAGGGGGCACTTGCCGCCCCCAACAAATGGCCACACATAGAGGTGAGAGCGAGGGGAGAGATGAGATAATATAGAAACAAAGATTGTTCGAAACTCTTTTTAAAAGTTTTAATATTATATAAATTAGTAATTTGTAGAAATATTCTGCCCGAATATAGGCATGATTCGGTCAACATGGCGCCAAAATATCACTTATTAAATATTCTATTTGTATATCTAAATGAAATTTGTAGCACAAAAAAGGGCTTTTACTAAACACGGCGCGCTGGAAAACACTCGGGTCGCGTCTCGCTGGGCCAATTTTGTTGTAATGGTGTCTTCAAATCGGCTTTATAAGGGAGAACATTTTTGAAAGAATAGATTTGAGATTATCGACACTCTTTTTTCCACTCTTTTCTTTTTCTCTTTATCACTGTTAAATCTGGCCAAGGAATCATTTCAATTCCTTTCTATTAATACATTTTCCTTTGTATTCCTTTCTTGGTAGTTCTTAATTTCCCACAATTCATCTTCTCACTCTTTCCTTTCTTCCTTGTTTCCATCCTATTAATAGGCCTATCATATTCCCTTGTAGTATCACCTAAATTTCCTAAAATCCACTGTATCCACATAGTATGTTGTCTTTCCTAATGTCAGCCTTAATTCTTGTCTTCTTATTTTTCTATTATTACAAAAACAATCGCAACTTCCAATTCCTATTTTAAATAAATTTCCCCACGCAACCCAATTGAAAAAACAGTCGCTAATTTAATATAACATTTTCCCACCGTGTAGGATCGATTTGAAGACACCATAAAACCAAAAAATAGCCTAGCGAGCCGTGACCCGAGTATTTAGTAAAAGCCCCAAAAGGTATCTTTTCCCCAATCGTTCGCTTCACTTCTCGCAAAATTCATGAATCAAAATGATTCTTGACAAAAAAAAGATAAAATATTATTGTACATTTAATGTCGAATATAATGATGACTAAGTTACATTTTTGCAATAGTAAAGGTGCATTTGTGATTACTCGCTCGCTTTGCTCCCTTGCATTATATAGGATCCGGATAGTATTTGGGGGGGGGGGGTAAGAGGCCCTCACACCTCTCACGTGAAAACGTGTCCATACATCCATGTGTACAAGGGGTGGACAAAATTATCGTTAATGAATATGGATTGGGGTGACGAGAAGCGATTTAACTAATAAAAGGGAGCTGTGACTTAAAGATAGTGTTTGAAGAAAAATATCTGGTGTACTAATGACTGATCCCCCCCCCTTCCCCCATGGCGGTGCCCACGCTACGCCACTGTGTACACAGATGTCATCATCAACAACAACAACATCAACAAAAATAAAAAATTGTCATATATCCAGGACCATTTTTTCACTAAGGTCTTGACGGACTTGACAGTATTTAATAACAAATTATATTTAAAAATGAAAGAAAGAAAGTGCGGGGGTGGGAGGGAAGGGTTATTGATTGAGTGATAGAGAGAGTGAGAGAGAGGGAGAGTGTGATAATGATGTAGGTACCAGGAGGGAGGGAGAGAAGGAGAAAAGGGAAGAGATGGAATTGTTAATGTGTCGTACCTGGATGAGCGCAGTACAAGTTCATTTTGTCCCTCGCTTCTTTTGGTGTTCTGGCGTCATATTCAGGGTGATCACGTGTTAGATACTTGGGAACAAACTTGACCGATTCCCCAGTATATTCGGAGATACCATAAGGACAGATGTCCATGGGTATCTCAGGGCAAGTACCGTCACCTAAAATGCCTGTTTATTTAGCGTATGATAAAGGGTAGGAAGAAGATTGAGAAGAAAAAGGAAGAAAAATAAAGCAGGAAAAAAAGAAGAAAAAATGGTAGAAGAAGAAGAAGCAGTAGCAGAAGACTTGGAGAAGGAGAGAAAGAAGAAAGAAAAAAGAAGAAAGAGTAGAAGAACAAGATGTACAAATATAATGAAAGGAACAAATAGGAGGAGAAAATAAGGACAAAATAGATACAAATAATCATTATACGTATTTGTTTCTGTTTACTTTTTTATATTTTGCCACTCAATACGCTTCAATGTATTATACTACTACTAATAAAACAAAAGCACACACACAAAATAGTGTAAGACATTGAATCTAAATTGCTTCCTAGTAGCGATGTGTGAAAATAAGAGTAGGAGAAGAAAAATAAGAAGAAGAAGGAGAATAAAATATGGTACATGTTTGTGTAGATTATGACGTAAGGGTGACAAAATACGATGCTTTCACTTGTTCGATGAAAATCAATGAGTTTGCAATTACTATAATGAATGTTATGGATTTATTTCAATTGGCATTGACAGGTGATGAATTAAATAAGATTTAATGAAATATGAAGAGTACAACGCGGGCGATGAGGTAAAATTTTAATAATTTTCGGTTGCAATCTCTCTAAATACAAAAGATCGCACTGATTTTGAAAAATGAATGAGGAGCTAGCTACGTAACAGAAGCGTAGCAATCGTTTGAAGAGGGATGAAACTGTATTGAATAGTGATATAAAAACGATGGGGGAGAGAGAAAGGAAGAGATGAGGTGATCCAATTCTGTGTTCAGTGTTGTTTACTACATGCGATTTTCAGCAAGGTGTATTAGTTTGGATGATTTCAAACCCTCAAAACAGGTCCGGTTCTGGAATTTTAGTTGTTCTGTTGCTGCCTCAAAACGCACAATTTGTTAAATTCATACTCATATTTTGTTGTAATACCTATATTTATTTTGCGTGTCAATCTCCGGGGATGCTCAAGGCGCCTACAGAGTTCTATTATTACCCTGTCTCTACCACAGCTGCCCTAAGGCACTCAAGGAATTCAAGAAATCGATTCCTACCAGGTACCTGTTTACTATACACCTGGGTTGAAGAGTGCTAACTATAGATAACTGTGTTTCTGAAACACATTAGTGCAGCAGCGGGACTCGGACCGCGAACCATGTGATCCTCTAGACGATTCTAGACCACGGCACCTCTCATTACCCCTCTATTGATTCTTTCACGTCACGTGTTGAATACTGGGGAACAAACTTGATTGATTCCCCAGTATACTTAGAGGTTCCTTAATTTTAGTGCAGATATCTCGTGGTAGGCCTACTCTAGAACATGTTCCACTACCGAAGACACCTGTTTGTTTAGCGTCAAATAAAGAAGGGGAAGAAGCATAATAGGCAGAAAAAATAGGAACAATGAGAAGGAGAATGTAGTAGTGGTAGAAGTAGTAGTAGTAGTAGAAGAAGAATAAGTAGTAGAAGTTTAAGAAGAAGAAGAGAAGAAAATGGATGATGGTAACGTTTTCTATCGTTAGGCGCTTAAATTCTTTAATACATGATGAAAAGAAGCGACAAAATCCACGTTTTTGTCATAAATAAGAAGTTTCTAGACAACCAATTTTGATATCAGAATCCCTTGTATATTCAGATGCATTCGTGCTCTCATTGGAATGAAACACGTTTACGGTAGTTCTTAAGCGGAAATGCGCGCCGTTGTACGCTCATTGCGCTAGATGACAAGCGCATGTAGATCAACTATCGACCTTTCAATGCGTGTCATTTTAATTGACTCAGTAGTATATGCTCTGGCACGCTCCTAACCATTATGAGCCATAGCATATAACACTGAGTTCCTATAGGAAATATATTTATTCAGATGGTCATATCTCAGCCAATACTTAAATAACATATTCAATTGGTTTTCGACGTTTGGATATTATTTTTTAATGCTCTTTTGGAAAATGAAAAACAAATAGATAGATTGTTGATGACGTCACACTTCACCACTCTATAGTGCCATTTACGGGATGTTCGGTATTAAAGATAAAGGTGAGTTCTCGTCATGCGATTGCTTTGTGAAAGACAAGATGTGGAATGGATCACAAAAAATGATCATCTAGCATATAAGTATTGGTGTGTACTGCAAGGTTCTGGAGTCATCTAAATCATAATAAATTTGGCCCAGTTTTGGTAAAGTAACAAGCACTGTACACAGAAAGATGTATATATGGGACTACACAAATGGTGTCGGGGCTAGCTTACCTTGATTTCCATATCTTTCTTTGCTCAATACTCAGCCAGTATACATTTTCTTCCAAATTTTTTTGGCACAAGATATTATTTGT